CATTTCGCAGTTTTTACTTTAGCCATAATGAAATATTTCAGTATATTTCAATCAACTCTATATACATAGACATATAATACTCAAAGTTTGCGAAGGATCACCATTTTCTAATAATAGGCTTATTAGGTGAAACGATTTTTTGAAATAAAATTTGTGCGGATGTTTTGTTTGACATGTACACTGCAATATATCAAGTGCTTTTCAGACTGTGTGATCAAGCATGGCCGTCACAGTATAAGCAGAAAATGGGTCACTTAGTTGTAGACCATTCCAAAACTTGCAAGATACATTTTGTAGATTTACTGTCTCATTTCACGCGGGCACAATCTGAGCATGCACGAGCTATCAAGAGGAATAGAGGGTTGTCCTACAGAAGGGTTACTGCTGCCCTAAGTGTTAGTCTCTAGGGCATGGACTCTTTCCAAGAAAAGGAAAGAGTGGACAGACGATACGGTGGTTGTCGGCATGAGGGCACCAACACATCAGCAGAACTTTGTTACATCAGCATGTAGCAAGCTTACTGTCTCTACCCAGACAATGAGAAACATATTTTATGTAGCTGGCCTGAGAGCAAGAAGACCAACAGTGCAAATTCCAATAAGAGCCAAACACCGACAACACAGTCTTGAATGTTGCAGGGAACATCTGGACTGGACGCAGGCTCTTTGGTCAAATGTCCTCTTCATGGACGAGTCTAGATACTGCTTGGACTAGCATGAATACGCACTCCAATGTGGAGAAAACCTAATGAGAGATACGCAGATGTGAATGTGATAGAACATCATTGGTATGGAAGTGGGTCAGTAGTGGTATCAGTATCATACTTGTACATCTTTCAGAATGCTGCTTTGAACGTAGAAAGGTACAGGGATGAGATTGTGGAAGTTTTTTTGATGTCATACGTAGAAGCCATACTTCCAGATTTCATTTTAATGGATGAAAATGCAAGACCACACACGACCAGTATGATGAACCAGTACCTGGTGGATGAGATTGTCGACACAATTGACTGGCCAGCACGGCCAGGATGATGAACCAGTACCGTGGATGAGATTATCGACAGAATGGACTGGCCAGCACGGCCAGGATGAAGAACCAATACCTGGTGGATGAGATTATCGACAGAATATACTAGCCAGCATGTTTACCTGACTCGAATCCTATTGAACACTCTTGGGACAGACTTCCAGCACCAGTATCAGTTCGTCCAGTGCAACCTATCAACTTGGTGAAGCTTGGAATCACCCTAGCCCAAGAAAGGAAGAACACACCTTGATCCAAGGTATGAGAAGATGCTGTCAGACTGCCATTAATGTGAGATGGAGATATACCCGGTATTAAGCTGAAAACAGAACGTTGTATATTCCTTGACACTTTTATATTTTTTTAAAGTTGTGTATTCCTTGACACTTTTACATTATATTTTCTTTAAAATTGTATATTCTTTGACACTTTTCATTATATTTTATTTAAAGTTGTTTATTCCTTGACACTTTTACATTATATTTTTTTAAAGTTGTATATTCCTTGACACTTTTATATTATATTTTCTTTAATATTGTATGCTCCTTGACACTTTTACATTATATTTTCTTTAAAGTTGTATATTCCTTGACACTTTTATATTATATTTCTTTTAAAGTTGTATATTCCTTGACACTTTTCATTATATTGTTTTTTAAAGTTGTGTATTTCTTGACACTTTTGCATTATATTTTCTTTAAAATTGTATATTCTTTGACTCTTTTCATTATATTTTCTTTAAAGTTGTATATTTTTGGACACTTTTACATTATATTTTCTTTAAAGTTGTATATTCCTTGACTCTTTTGAATTATATTTTCTTTAAAGTTGTATATTCCTTGACACTTTTATATTATATTTTCTTTAATATTGTATGTTCCTTGACACTTTTACATTATATTTTCTTTAAAGTTGTATACTCCTTGACACTTTTACATTATATTTTCTTTAAAGTTGTATATTT